ACTGAGAATAGCAGCAAAAAAGAACCGGTAATGTTTATATTGCCATATGATCCAAAATATTTCTGAGGTAAAAACAGGAGAGTATTGAGTAAATTTTAGTCTTAAAAAAATGGTGAAAAGAGTGATCAAGGCAAAGAATTTGCAGGTTATTGAAGAAAATACTTTTTCGGAATAGGATTTGAAAATATTCCCGGACTATGCTTTTAACTTATCATGTGGTTCTACAAAGGGTGTTGACTTTCTTTGTGCCAGTGACTTCATTGTAATTGTGGTATTTTCAGTTTCTCTATCTTGCTCAATTATGCAAGTTAATACTGGTTTAAGGCAAAGTTCTTCCAAGTTCATTCTCTGAAACTAGTCCATGAGAGTGATAAGAGGGGAGAAAAAGGTAATGAAATCAAATAACTACTGAAAACAATTAATTAAACAAGGTACCCATGATTATTCAATAAAGGACAATCAACACCTTTTCTATGCTAAAATGAGTCTGACTCTCCAAAAGATAGGATGTAGACTGGAACATTTCCTATATTTATTTGAAAATGTAACTTTTTATTAAAATATTCTAAGATTATTAAAAAGAAAAAATAATTTTTTTTAATGATGAAGAATTGTTTTTTCTAGGATATAAGTATCCTTGGGTAAAAGAGAAAACAAACAACATCACGGCAATGTAATTTTTACATTAGTAAAGTGTTACTTCATTATCTACTGTGTGTAGGGTACTATATAAACTATTTTATGTACAAGTTAAAATGTAACTACAATTAGGTTCCCTATCTTATTATTCCAAATGTGTGATTGCAAATTAACTACCATATAGAGAAATTTATTATTTCAAATAAGTTGGACAATTGCTTTGTGTATAAGAAAGGCTGAGTGTTTGGAGTTAAATTCCCAGTTCTGACTATTTTTTCCTATTTTGAGGAGAAAAGGGAGAAAGAATGGAGGGAGACAGGATAGGAAAATACTGGCATCAAGGTGTCAGGAGGCTAGGTTCTGTTTCTGGTTCTGTTTCATAATCCTAGGCAAGGCACTTAATCTTCAGAGTTTCAGTCTACTCCTCTGTAAAGTCAGGGACTCAGTAAAATGATATGTAGATCCTCTGCTTCTAAGCATTATTGATCAACAAAGGTAGGAGAATCCAAGGAAGAAAATAAGGGTTAATGTGAAGTATTTAAGCTGTGCTCCCACATTTACTCCCATGGCAAGATTGAGGGGCAGAATAGGTAGTCTTCAACTGGCTGACCATTGAGGATTTTGCACATGGGACTGGATGTAAACAGGTAGCATGCACATATGGTTATAGCAGTTCTACCTAGACAAGATCATTGGAGTTTTAGCCTCCAGAGGTTTGTCCAGGGACAAAATATGTGTGCATAAAGTTTATCTTCTAATGAGTCCTCTAACCCAGGAACTCAATGTTCCTCTTTTAACTACTAGAAGAGATTATTCATATGAAATTTGTAAGAGATTTAAGTTGTAACCACTGCTGGGATAATTTGGTTTGCTTGTTTATAATTAAGCAGAACAAGAGGCCAATACTTAAAAAATGAAGCAATGATTATTGACAGAATTTCAGGCAATGTCAGAGAGTTTAAGCCTAGAGAATAAGTCCTGCTCTCTCCACAAACCACTGCAATAGTGTCATACCCTGATGCTGAAGCCAGATTGCAGAACCATACTAAGAGAATGTGGAATTTTCTGCAATTTATGAAACAGAACTCCATATTTTTTCAGTATGACTCAGTGACCCAGCATGATCATCAAGGTATTGCATCGATAGACATTCCTCGCTTGAATCAAGTATTAAATTGGAGGTTGCAAGATAGTCATTTGTCTAATTCTGAGAGAGAAAGACGGAAAAAACCAGCTAGGCAGATAGTTAGGGCAAAGTCCTCTGGAGAACTTTTCTTCTAACCAAGAGTGGCCTGAGAGATCAAGCTGCAAACATAGATAAGGAAGCAAGCTCCAGCGCAAAAGAGTGCCTTCTGTGTAATCAGCAAGTTTCACATACGTTCAGTGGGCCTCGGTGAACACATTCGTTTTTTGGATATACTCAAATAAGGAAGCTTGCTCAGGAGGGCTTGCTTGGAACATGCCTATAGCTACACAGATAGGATTTACACTGAGATAGGCATGCCCACAATGGAGGATTCTACCCCCTAACACGTGCATAGTAAGGGAAGTCAAACAACATGGAGTAACTTAGGCTACCAGCTCACATTAACACTAGAAGGAAAGGGTTGATGTTGTCAGGAATTCACACCTTCTGCAGATGACACACCTAGTCCTAACCAGTTTGTCACACCTTATGTAAATAAAGCACCCCCTCCCTACTGGCTCCTTTATAAAAACTCTTGTATTCCACTATAGAATAGCAACCCTTTTTCGGGACCAGGAATTCACACCTTCTGCAGATGACACACCTAGTCCTAACCAGTTTGTCACACCTTATGTAAATAAAGCACCCCCTCCCTACTGGCTCCTTTATAAAAACTCTTGTATTCCACTATAGAATAGCAACCCTTTTTCGGGACCCCTCTCTGCACAGAGAGCTTTCTCTTTCTTTTGTTTTTTAAACTTTTGCTTTAACCTCACCCTTGGTATGTCTGCATTCCTTGATTTCCTCAGTCATGAGTTCAAGAACTCCAGGTGGTACCCCAGACAATGAGGCCAGTTTCAATTCTATTATTCCTTCTATAATGAGTAGACCCCTCCCTGTTCATTGAATTCTTGAGAAACACTATGAACTTATGAGTTTCTTTAAATGCTTTATAGTCAATTACCACCATTATTCTTTTTGATCCTCAAATTGTGGCAAGTTCGGCCAGCAGGAGATCTTTCCCAGTGGCTCATGCATATGCTTCTGACACAACTGCACTAGTTTTTTAGTGACTCTGCTTTCTGACACAACAGGATGTTCCATGTTCACCACTACTTTACCAGCTCCAGATCTGGAGCTCTGGTTCCTTTCAGTTGAGAAAGTATTAAGAAACTAAGATATGAGCACACTGATATTGCTGACACAAATTTAACATTCCACAGGTTTTCTCATGACTTCTTTTATGTTTGTATCTTCTTTCCCTTACAATCAAACACCATTTAACATATCTGCTTATTTCCTCTAAAGTATAACACAACAGTCTCAGAATTGCAGTACCAATATTTCCACTGTCTACAAAAAGAGTCAAACTTTGTAAAATAGTTGAAGAGATTTTTTCTGAGCCAAATATGAGTGACCATGGCCCGTGACAAAGCCTTCAGGAGGTCCTGAGAACACATGCCCAAGATGGTCAGTGTGCAGCTTAGTTTTACACATTTAGGGAGACATGAGACTTCAATCAAATACATTTAAAAAATACATTCGTTTGGTCCAGAAAGGTGGGACAACTTGAAGCGTGGGGTGAAGGGTTCCAGCTGGGACATCTTCCCAGCGAGGGATAAAAGACTACAGTCAACTGGGATCAATAGAAAGGAATGTCTGGGTTAAAATAAACGATTGTGGAAACCAAAGTTCTTATTTGCAGAGGAAGCCTTCAGGTTGTAGGCTTCAGAGAGAATAGGTTATAAAATGGCAAGTGTAATACAGCGATATTTGTGTATCTAAACATATGTAAACACAGAAAAAGTAAAGAAAGTAAAGTAAAAATATGGTATGAAGATTAAAAAATGGTACACTTGTACAGGGCACTTAACCATAAATGGAGCTTGCAGGACTGGGAAATGAGTCTAGGTGAGTCAATGAGTGAACAGTGAGTGAACGTAAAGGCCTAGGTCATTACTGTGCATGACAATGGACTTTATGATCACTGTACACTTAGGCTACACTAAATTTATTTAAAAGTTTTTTTTTAATAATACATTAACTTTCCTTACTATAACTTTTTTACTTTATAAACATTTAATTTTTTAAATGTTTTGACTCTTGTAATATCTATCACTTACCTTAAAACCAAACATCATATAGCCATACAAAGATTTCTTCCTTTATATCCTTATTCTATAAGCTTTCATCTATTTTTAAATTTTTTTTAATTTTAATGTTTTACTTTTTAAGCTTTTTCCTTAAAATCTAAGACACAAACACACACACTAGCCTAGGGCTACACAGGGTCAGGATCATTAATATCACTGTCTTTCACTTCCATATCTCATCCTACTGGAAGTTTTTCAGGGGCAATAACATGCATGAAGCCATCATTTCCTATAACAATGTCTTCTTTCGGAATATCTTTTGACAGATCTGCCTGAGGCTGCTTTACAATTAACATTTTTTTATAAGTAAAAGGAATACAATCTACAATAATTATACAAAGTACACTATAGCAAATTTTAAACCAGTAACATAGTCATTTGTTATCAAGTATTATACATGACACATGATTGTATGTGCTATACTTTTATATAACTGGCAGTGCAGTGGGTTTCTTTACACCACCATCACAACATGCAAGTAATGAATTTTTCTAGGATGTTATGATGGCTACAACACCACTAGGTGATAAGAATTTATCAGCTCCATTATAATCTTGTGAGACCACCATTATATATGCAGCCTATTGACCAAAGCCTCATTATGCAGTGCAGAGTACCATATCCTAGCATGAATGCATAGTTTGAATACTATGTTGGGCTGGGCCCTGTGGCTCATGCCTGTAATCCCAGCACTTTGGGAAGCCAAGGTGGGTAGATCACGAGGTCATGAGATGGAGACCAGCCTGGCTAACACGGTGAAACCCTGTTTCTACTAAAAAATTGCTTGAACCCAGGAGGCGGAGGTTGCAGTGAGCCGAGATTGCACCACTGCACCCCAGCCTCAGCCACAGAGTGAGGCCCCAATCGAAAAAAAAAAAGAATGCTATGTTTAAACTTTACTGAAATAATTATTTCCTCTATATGGTTATTATGTTACCAATTTGGTACTGAGCTAGCCACAGTTGTTTCTGTTTGTTTTCAAGTTGAGGCAAATAAACTCATGTTATATCTTAATCCAACAGAAGCCTGAAAAATGAAGCCTAAAATGAAGTATTCAACCAACAGAATTTCCACAGCCAAGCAGAAGAACACAGCAAGCAAAGCCCTGTGTTTCAAACTGGCAAGTAAGGACTTAAGTATCTCTGAATGTTTTACACACTATTTTTATCTGTTATCAAATCTTTACTATTCCAATGTTTATAATGCTATCTTATCAAAATCTACTAAGAATACAAGAACTGATATCAAAAGGAATGGCACATAAGGGTATAAAACAGCAGACTGGCTTTAAATAGACCATATATAACCAATTTGGCATATTTAACACATCACAGAGTAGAAAGAGCTGAGATAATCTGAACTATGAATAGTGATAAACTTGATTATAGCCTTTTATAACAACCATTTCTTGTTTCACATACCTCCTGCCACCAAATCCCCAAAACCCTTCCCTAATAAACTAGCAAAATTTTAAGCAGATCCACTTTCATTCAACAAATATTCATTAAGACCTTTGGTGGTATCAGGCATATGGTCTTGACTTGCGACTACTGATGAAGAGAGTAACAAGTGAAGATATTTGACTAATCATCTCAGTCCATCTGTGTTGCCATAAAAATATACCCAAGGCTGGGTAATTTAACCCTTTTCCCATTTAGAAAAAAAAAGGCAAAGCTTGCTGCCAGTGCTTATTTTGATTTTACATAAATATCTCTTTGAGGCCAAAGCAAATGTGATTTGCAGTGCAGAAATAGAATATAAAAACTGTTCTTGGAGTTGTTTCTAAACAGAACTACCATCAGCATTGTCTATTTTGGAAAAAAAAATCAGATTCATTAAATGAAATTTCAGCTAACAACTGTTAAAGAACTGTTCAAAAATGTTAACATCACAAGTAGGAATGCTACATTTTCTAGGATTTGACATTTTCAGCAATCAAAAATTACTGTATTTTATAAATGAAAATAACCACTACTACTAAAAGCAGAGTGCTATAAATAGAAAGATGTCTTTTGTTTCCAAAGTTGATATACTAGAGAGATGTAAAAATAATAATAAAATTGAGATCTTTCATGGCAAAGTTGTTTTAGAGTAAACACCGCAGTTGTAAGCGCTGCCAGCAATTATTCTCTGGGCAAATGGGAAAAGGCAAAAGAGGGTTTATTTGACTTACAGTTCTGCAGGCTGTACAAGAAGCATGGTGCTAGCATCTGCTTCCCATGAGGGCTTTAGGCTGCTTCCGCTCATGATGGAAAGGGAATGGAAACCAGTATGTGCAGAGGTCATATAGGGAGAGAACAGAAGCAAGAGAAAAAGGAGAGGAGGGACCAATAGTTTTTCAACAATCAGTCATCTTGCAAACTAAGAGTGAGAATTCACTATTGTGAGAATGGCACCAAGCTGTTCATGAGGGATCCACCCTACGATCCAAATACTTCCCACTAGGCCCCACCTCCAACATTGGGGATCATATTTCAACAAGAGGAGACTTGGTGGGACCAAACCAACCAAAGCCAAACCATAGAAATAAAAGCAGAATCAACAAATAGTGCTCAAGTCTATCTAGCTGCAAACTCAGAGTTTGTAATAAGAAGGAAGGTAAATAAAGTCAGGTGGCAGCTATAGCTCTGAGATTAAAGGACTGTTTAACTTTTTGATCCTTAAAATTGTCTGTCCTAGGAAGGAAGTATGCAAATTTATTCATTTATTTTTACTTTTTTTCTTTTGAGACAGTCTCACTTTGTCTCCTAGGGTAAAGTACAGTGGTGCAATCTCAGCTCACTGAAACCTCTGCCTTCCAGGTTCAAGTGATTTTCTTGCCTCAGCCTCCCAAGTAGCTGGAATCACAGGCACACACCACCATGCCTGGCTAATTTTTTGTATTTTTGGTCAAGATGGGGTTTTACCATGTTGGCCAGGCTGGTCTTCAACTCCTGACCTCAAGTGATCCACCCACCTCAGCCTCCCAAAGTTCTGGGATTACAGGCATGAGCCACTGCACCTGGCAGGAAGCATTCAATTTTAGAATCATGTTTTTCACATGGGAGCAGTAACACAAAATAAAGTAAACAGAGTCCTGGCAGACGGGAAAGAAAATGGAGGATAAGGAATGATGGTGGGAGGAACTGGCATATCCTTGTCTTTCATGCTCCTTTCCATTTCTCTGTACATCTTTAAGGCTAGAATAGAAAGCAGTGTTAATATCATTTCTGTCTCATTCTGTCTTCCCTGAGGCTCTGGCCCACCTACACTGTTCTTTGGTGACCAGAGAAAGCACTAATTTGACTATGGTTTCTGAAAAACCAGGAAATCACAGCTAAACTAATCCTTTTATTTGTAGCTGAGTCAAAATGCTCTGTAGAAACAGTGACTCAGTGACTTTACATCCCTAAATTGCCTCTCAATAAAGAATGCATTTTCTTTGTATCTCAGGAAATGCCAGCTCTTTATAGACACTGGAATGAAAGTGGGCTAGAGTTTATGCCAGAGTTGGTGGCATTGATACAAAAGTTTAAAATGTAACCCCTACTTTAAGGGAACAATGGTCCTAACTACTTATCTATACCATTTAGAGCACAGTGACAAAAATAATCTCCACATCACATTTTTTTATTATACTTTTAAGTTCTGGGGTACATGTGCAGAACGTTCAGGTTTGTTACATAGGTATACATGTGCCATGGTGGTTTGCTGCATCCATCCCCCCGACATCTACATTAGATATTTCTCCTCATGCTGTCCCTCCCCAATCCCCCTACCTCTCCCCTAGCTCCCCACCCCACAACAGTCCCCTGCTCTCTCCCCCCTAGCTCCCCACCCCACAAAAGGCCCCTGGTGTGCACATCACATTATTTTAATTGTCCCTTAGCAGATCTTTCTTTCCAACAATATTGGCTCAGTTTAATATTGTACTCCCCTCTTATTTGCAGGGAATATGTACCAAGACACCCAACAGATGCCTGAAACTGTGGATAGTACTGAACCCTATATATACTATGATTTTTCCTACAGATACATAACTATGATAATGTTTAATTTATAAGTTAGGCCCAGGAAGAGATTAACAGTAACAACTAATAAAAAAGTAGAGCAATTAGAACAATGTGCTGTAATGAAAGTAACGTGAATGTCTGCGCTTTCTCTCTCAAAATTTCTTACTGTATTTTACTGTGGGTAACTGAAATCACAGAAAGCAAACCCACAGAAGGGGGCAGAGGAGATAGAGCTACTGCACTAAAACTGTCATTATTTAAACAATCCTGGTGAAAAATTTGACAGATATCTCTGGGGTATATGACAGGTGTAAACCGCTTCTCAACTCAGAATGCAAGATATGTCATATCTTGTTTTTCTAAATAAGCTTCTGCTCTAAGATCCCAAGAAACAAGGCAAGAAAGCACATTTAATTCCTTCTCTTATCTTGAGCTACCAGGATCTAACACAAGACACAGTTCACAATGCAACAAAACATAGTAGCCAACCACTGCAGGTATCCCCACAGTCAGTCCCACATGAGTGTGGTCACCCCCAGGGCATTTTGCTTCTAATGCCAACAGGGTGCAGGACTTCTTGACCTGAAGGAAAACTTCTCTCACAACACTTCCCAGTTTCCAGGAAGCTACTTCCCAGGGTCAGAGTTTTCTCTTCTCCTACTTTCTCTCCCCTACATCCGTCAACACTTTCTCTTCCCTAAAAATTCAGCCACCTTCACTCATGGATCAAGCCAGAGGTCACAACATGGGACCCTTGAGACAGATCCATCAAGCAAGAGTATTTTATTAGGGCTTACTAGTGTTATTGATGTTCCTAATTGAGTCAATTTTCTTAAAATTAGTTTATTTTTAATGAAAATCTAAATGTATATAGTTTCTCTCAAAAAACCCAAAGATCTAGAAACACTGGGTCCATATCTTGCACGGCAATAGTTGGCTAGAACTGAGTAGGGATCAACTCCTTTAGTGTGAGTCTACCCATAGAAGATCTTCTGTTATACTAAAGGAGACTTGACTTTATCCTGTAGACAGTGGGGAATCACTGAAAATGTTGAACTGAGGAATGATAAAATATTTTTACTTTACAGAGATCACATTGGTGAAGTGTGATGATAGTAGTGTGATGACAAAGTGAGGAGGCAAGAGTAGAAACAGAAACTGATTAGAGGTCTACCACATTCATCCAGGGTACTAATGATGAAGGCATGACTTAAGACAACAGAATAGAGAGGACGGACTAGATTTCAGATATATTCAGAAGGTGAAATCAGTAAGACTTAATGACAGATTGAATAAATTGTAAAAATGGAAAGAAGGAAAAATGAATGATTCTCAGCTTTTTTATTTAAGAATTGGGTAGATAATAATAGAGAGTTATATTATTTTTCAAGATAGGTAATTCAGGAGAAATATATTGGGGTAGAAAAAAATAAAGAAATTTTTTATTATAAGTACTGCTATGGTTTGAATATCCCCTCCGAAACTCATGTTGAAATTTGCCATTGTGATGGTATTAAGAGGTATAAATCAGCTTTAAGAGGTGATTAGATTATAAGGGCTCTGCCCTCATGAATGGATTAATGCCATTGTAGTGGGAGTGGGTTAGTTATTGCAAGATTGGGTTTCTGATAAAATTGATGAAGTTCAGTCACCATCCTTTCTTTGTCTCATGTGACATCTCTTACCATGTGATGACACAACAAGAAGGCCCTCATCAGATGCAGCCCCTCAATCTTGGATTTCCCAATCTCCAGAACCAGAAACCAAATAAAACTCTTTTCTTTATAAATTACCTAGTCCATGATATTCTGTTTTGGCAACAGAAAATAGACTAAGACCAGTATATTTTAATTTTAGGTAGCTATAGGTCACCCAGATAGAGATGTCCAGAACTCAGAAAGATATACACAGAAAGAGATAGCGGTGCTTTAAGGCAGCTGGGTCAAAATGCCTTGTGGAGAAAGAACAACTGATAGAAAGCTCAGGAAAAAGACCAAAGGTAGAGTTACAGTTTGGGGAATCATCAGCCTCTAAAAAGGTGATCAAAGTCATTGGAGCAAGCATGATTGCCCAGGAAGAAAGTTTAGAGTGACAGAAGAAGAGAAAGACAAAACCCTGAGGTACACCAACAT